TGGGAGACAGTGGGGGGCACGTTCTGAAAGGGGGTCGCCGGGGAGACAGAGGACACGGCCGCCACTTGCTGCGTACCTTCAAGACAAGGAGGAGGGCTCGTCACGGCAGGTTCTACCAGGATTTTCAAAAGCTTCCAAGACCATCCCCTCCGGCCATAGGGGCCGGCAGTGACAGGCTGAGACCCGAGTCTCTCCAGGAGCTTCTGGCCCTGCATCCTGGGGACAGAAGCTGGTCTGGCTCATCTCAGCCAAGTGCTTACTGCTCACTGCAGGAAGGGAAGGCAGCCTCCGACCAGAGACTGCAGGAGGTCGAGGGAGGAAGTCACGACAAGCTTCACAGCACGGCAGTTAAGAGCCAGCCCTGGAGTCCAAGAAGTCTGGGCTGCACTCAGACTTCGTGAGCAACCAGCTGAGAGAGACCCAGGACGGGACCTCACCAAACCGCCCCGCTTCTCCCTTCTGTAGCACAGGGTGGCCCGCCCAGTCGGCCTCCCCATCGGGGTGCGCCTCCACGCGGGTTCCCTGACCAGGCCAGACCCCAGGGCTCACAGTGCAAACCATCACTGCGGTCCCTGACGGGGAGGCACGGTCCTGGCCGACCGGCGAGCGAGGCAGTGACAGCAGCTCTCAGCTCAAGGGAGGGAGCAAAATGGATGCGGAAGAGGTGGAGGCTTAGGAGGGGGCCCAGGCCACGGGTTTCACGGAAGAGGCGGCCTCGGGGCTGGGGCTGGGGCTGGGAGGGGGCCGGACTCAGGAGGTGGAAAATAGGGACACGGGGTCTTCCCGGAACACAAGCTCCCACCGGAGCGTGCCTGGAGGCAGATGGCAGCAAACATCACTCCCCTCCTAAGCCCCAGGCAGGCCATCCCCAACACTGCCCCGCAGGCTATGCACGACCAAGACGCAGCACCCGTGAGCTCATCGCGCCTGGCCCCGACAGACTGGGAAACAGCTCGGCCGGGCGGAGGGGCCTGCGCTGCAGCGCATCCGCGCGTGGGCCTGAGAACAGACAGCCACCCCACCCCGCACCCCCTTACCTGCACTCTGGGTTCCTGCAGCTGGCTTCCGGCCTTTGCCCTTGGGAGCTGGGGGTAACAGTTCAACCTCCTCCTGGGGCATCTGAGCCACTTTTTGCAGAAAAATTTTCTCTAAGGCTTGGGCCATGAGCACTATGTCATCTGTGGGCTGGAGACACAGAAAGCCCAGGTCGGGCATCGGGAAAGGAGCCACGCGTGGCAGAGGACCTCCCCCAAGACAACACTGATTCACAAGTCCCCAAACAGCTGTTGGCCCGGCAAGGGGTGGGTGGTGGATCTTGAGAGCCGGGCATGGTAGCTCATGACTATAATCCCAGCACCTTGGGAGGCCAAGGCAGGAGGATCGCTTGAGCCCAGGAGTTCAAGACCAGCCCAGGCGTTCAAGACCAGCCCAGGCAACATAGCGAAACTTCATCTCTACAAAAAAAAAAATCTAAAATACTAGCCAGATGTGGTGGTGTGCACCTGTAGTCCCAGCTACTCAGGAGGCTGAGATGGAAGGATTGCCTGAGCCCAGAAGGTAGAGGCTGCGGTGAGCCATGATCGTGCCACTGCACTCCAGCCTAGGTGATAAAGTGAGATCCTGACTCAAATAAATAAATAAGCAAACAAATAATAAAACAAAATCCACTAAGAGACTCAGCGAGCAGGAGGGGGTAAATGCATCTCTTTTTCACTGTGGAACATCTTGGAAGAATGCAGAGAAGGATGGAAAACCAAAGCCAGCCTGTGCCTCGCCCCTCCAACAGCTCTGCACTCCTGCTGGACTTTGCTTCATTCCGCTATTAAGAAACAAAACACAGCAGGGCACGCTGGCTCACGCCTGTCATCCCAGTACTCTGGGAGGTCGAGGCGAGAGGACTGCCTGTGCCCAGGGGTTCGAGACCAGCCTGGGCAACTTGGCAGGACATCATCGCTAGAAAAAAAATTTAGAAATTAGTGGGGCATGGTGGAGTGTGCCTGCAGTCCCAGCTACTTATGGAGGTTGAGGAGGGAGGATCTCCTGAGCCCAGCAGGTTGAGGCTGTGGTGAGCCGTGATCGTGCCACTCTAGCCTGGGTGACGGGGTGAGACCCCAACTTAAAAAAAAAAAATCATAAAATTAGAACCTGCTTGAGCCCAGGAGTTTGAGACCAGCCTGAGCAAAAAAAAAAAAAAAAAATTATAACCACACCACTCTCCTCAGCTACTCCTCTCAAAGAACTCTGGAGACGTCTGCCCCTGTCACTGTGGGCTCTGCGTCACTGCAAGCAGGTACACACAGATGTCACTATTTTCTTTTCTGAGTTGGAGTCTCACTCTACTGCCCAGGCTAGAGTGCAATGGCACGCTCACAGCCACCACAGCCTTGACCTGCTGGATTCAGGTAGCTTTCCAAGTAGCTGGAGCTACAGGTGGGCGCCACCACACCTGGCTAATTTTTTGATTTATTGTAGAGACGAGATCTTGTCAAGTTGCCCAGGCTAGTCTCGAACCTGTGGGCTTAGGCAATCTTCTCACTTGGCCTTCCAAAGTGCTGGGATTATAGGCATGAGCCACCGTGCCTGGCCAAATGTCACTATTTTCTTGGCCAATCTCCTACTCAAGCACACATGAGGCTCTGGTTTCCCACAAAAATGAACCAGCACTTGTCTGTTTAAAACTTCCAAGGGGTCCGGGTTCGGTGGCCCAGCCTGTAATCCCGTGCTTTGGGGGGCCAAGGTGAGTGGATTGCCTGAGCCCACGGGTTCGAGACCCGCCTGGGCAACTTGGTGAGACCTCATCTCTACAATAAATCAAAAAATTAGCT